ACACACATGCTCACTTTGTGAGAAAATTTAAAGACAAACCTGAGCAATTAATAGTCCTACTTTAGCAACAGAAAGACAAAGTGAAATGTTCTTGCTTTGTTCCTCTGAAGAGGTACACTGAGAATTCATTTATTTTGCATACATTGAGAGAAAGGAAAATGTGGTAACATACTGTTACTAATGCTGTGTCCTAGCTTAAGAAACACAGACTTTAAGAATGCAAGCACTGGGGAGAAATGGGGATTTGGCATGCACTAAGGCTGACAGAGAAGATGGCTGTATTTCTCCTTAAGATCTGACAGTAGCTTCTCAACAAGACTTAGTAAAGGCAGAAGGTCCAGCTGCATTCTGTTTCATCAGTGTTTTAGACCCCTAAATTCTTGGTTCTTAAGGGTCAGAGCCAGAAATAAGCCCAGGTGATTTAAGTTTTACCTTCCAGACCTTAACCTCTGTACGTGCTCTCCAACACAGACTCTTAGATGAAATTTTGGAATTTCTGTCCTCTTTGGACAGGAAACAACTATTCCCTCCTGCCATCTGTATGTCTCATCCACAGCTCAGGATCAGCCCCTGATCAGCCATACCTCAGTGCTGGCTTCAAGGACCAGCCACACCTATGTCTTTGTAAGGCAAAGTCAGTATCTACTAGGGTAGGACTCCCAGATCAGGCTGGGAAGTCAATCCCAGAGGAATCTAACCACCAGGGCCACAGGGCCTTCTCCACACTCACAGGACAGACCTCCTCTGAGTCCAGAGAGAATTCACTTTACAAGGACAATTCTTTCCATTCAAGTGCACAGTTCTCACGGGAACTTATCGTCTTCCCTTCTCTCCCTTTTCCCTCTAAAAAATTATTTGGAAAAGATGTCTTTCTGTTCCAAAGGAGGCTTATGGCATTGCTTCTGACCACTGACATAATTTTTAATATGGTCTCTTTTCCTATTTACTCTCCATTGGCTTCTTGCAACAAGACGTAGCCTGAACATCTTGTCTTCAGAAGAAAGGACATCTGAAGTAAATACGGAAACATGGATTAACAGCTAATTCAGGGAGCAGCTGGTGTAACAATGGAAAAAAAAAAAAAGTGGTTTTCACAAGTGTAGTGCTTACAGGAAAAGACAGAAAGATTTCTCTATTTGGGGAGAAGATCAAAAGACGTAGGTATACATAAGGCTGATTCGATGAGTGATGCTGCTTGCAGCTCAGAAGGCGATGAAAATAGGCCCTTTCAAACAAAATCTAGGCTCAGTGGAGCTTGACTATTCAAAAGCAATATTGTCTAGAAGGAAAACAGAATTACTGGGTCCTTAACAGTAAGCACTGGGACTCTGCTGTGCTTGCTCTGCCCTGTGTTGAAACAACATGTTTGAGGTGGGACTCCTGAATCTTCTGGTTATCTTGACCCTAATTTACAAAGAATGGCAGTATTCAGTCAAAGATCTCAGAAGATATTCCAACCTTTCTGGCAGAAGGATATTTATACAGGAGTTGACCTTGGCACAATTGATGTAGGAATGGTGGACGTGGATTTAGTCATCCCTACCGGCTGCATTCCACAACGGAGGGTTGCAGCTGTGACACGGATAAAAAACCCTCCTTCAGTCAAAGCTGACTGTGTTTGCTCCTAACATGATCTGCTGCCTCTGGTAACCAGTGGTTTGTATCATAACCCCACCCTTGCAAAGCTCATTTTACAATACTCACTGGTTTTTGAGTTTTGTGTATGTACAGGGCAGGGGGAATATAGTCAAAACTTTGATTAACTAGAATTGCACTGGAAAAGGTCTGAAGCCACATCAGATGTGTCTAAACAAAACCAATGTTATTTATCTCCACATAAGTTTGTATTGTCTTTTTGAACATAACTAGAGTTATGAGTTTTAGACCTCTAACTAGTTCTAACAGGATTAATACTACTGATACAATACCAGAATATGATTAATAAAATCACTAAAAATAAAAATAATATCATAAGACTCTATAGGTTATGGGATAGCTAGAATTCTAATTTCATTAAGAAGATAGTATTGAAAAAATTATTTAATTTTCATTTTCAAAGCAAGGAAATTCTAAGCTTCTCTAGCTAGTGTGACTCACAACACAAGCAAATCACACACATTTTTATAATGTGTCTAAAATGGAAAAACACTGCATGACAAATATTATCCAGGAATCATTATTGTGTGCTTTAGCTAGCTATTTTTTATTTCTTCTACAGCAATTAATAGCAACATGTTTCTGAGCTTTTAAGTGAAATTGATTTAAGTGGCTGGAAGAAGTTCTCACTTTGCAATGCTATTAATTTAGTTATCCAGTTATCTTTGAGGTGCTCTCCATAATCTGGAAAGCTAGAAATTATACAGTTAGGTAATTACTGTCTCTAAAACAAATGCATATATTCAAAAGGAATACCAGCAAAAAATAAAACCAAACTGAATGGAAAAATCTTTAGGGCAATTAAACAGTTTGCAAAGAAAAAAAAACACCTCCCAAAAAAGCCCACAAAATTTTTACTTCCTAACTTTATTTTTGAAAAACCTTCTTTTTCTGAGGAAGTATTACAAAGTAACATTTAAAATGTTTACTTAAATCTTTCATCCATTTTCTTTTATATGCTGTACATATGCTTTCATTTCTGCACATTCCTAGACATTGCACTTATGGATAAGAATAGATAGCCCATTAGTTTTAAAGATGTTTCCTGCTCAAGTATCTGAAAGAATTATCAAGAACCATGAGGGTGTTACTTGGTTCTTTCAAGGCAATTCCAGACAACTGTTGCAAATCAGGAGTGCTAATGAACTTAGAAAATCATCAAGCCTGGATGGACACAGAAACTATACCACACCTTTGAATATTTTGAAGTGTATAACCACTCAAATCTTTGCAATTAAAGGATATAATATGTCTAAGAATTTCTTTTGTTCCAAGTGCAACACATAACTGAAACATCTTCTGAATGTTATTAGTTGGATGATATAAAAAGATAGTCTTGTACTTTACACAACTCAAAATGATGCGTAAATAGTAATTTTATCTTTAAATATGCAGCCTACATTTTAAGTTCCTGAATCTGACTTTTATTTTATGGCTTGCTTTCAATAAGCTTAATAGGAGTATCCTACAGAGTTCACGATGCACCTGTTTTTAATGTCCTTGTCTCAGAATTATTTTGTGTATGTCATCACAGTCATCTCTTTCTTAGAACATATAAATCTCTACTATGGTAACTTTCTTATTAGCATGATCTATCAATGGATTCCTGATGAAATTTAATATATTACATAAAATTCCAAATCCTAAAGCTAGCTGCTTCTTGCTTCACATGCTGAATACAAAGCTGTTTTGCTTAGTACATGACTGACTTTTCATAATTCACTTGAGGAAACACCAAACAAGCCAAATTATTGACTAACAAAACCTGTGCAATTTCAGGAACTGAAAGGGGTTGCACACATCTAAACTCAGTGTAGATTATGCCATTTACTCACATGCTTACCTTGTCAAACTCAAGTCTCATAAAAGCTATTTGGATAACACAAGAAGGGAGTCTTAATTTAGTTTTACCTGCTTCATGTTCAGCTGTTTCATCCTACTGAAATGCAAACTTTCTAGATTGTCTTTCTTAGCTCTTTTGAGGTTGTATTTTTATATATATTCCTATTTTTCTGTTTAGTGGATTTTTAGTGGTAACAGGGTGAGATATCTGGGGACTGGTATCTCCATCAAAATAGTGAATTTTGGCTCCTCAGTATCATCAACACTAACTTGTTTTCATTTTATATGACATGATATATTCACTTTTAAGCCACATCAACTTCAATGTGGAAAAAAAAAATGTGGTGTATGAAATGTTTAGCGAGGTTTAATTTCCATCTTGTGTCTGCTGAATATTTACAACTTAATGAAAAAATATGAAACACAAGTAGAGAAGAGATGACCCAATCTCACCATCACTTCATGAACCAGAAATATTTTGTTATGTGATAATACGATCATCATCACATGCAAGAACTTTTATCCACAAGTATGAAATAACTGTTATCCTACCACCTTGACAAATTCCATTTATATTACATTTTCCTCAGGAATCAAAAAGAATAGCGTATTAAAAAAAAACCCCAAACCCAAGAGTTTAAGGACCAGCTGCTTCTGTTTAAGCCAAACTGTTTCAGTATTGACGCAGCATAGCTAGGGCATGATGTGATCTGAAGGGCCAGCAGAATATACCCTTGATGATCTTAAAAATATGTAGGGGTCTAGCCTCTTCTAAGTGTGCATAATTCCCATCAGTGGAGAAGGGAGTTGCTCAACGTAGAAAAGAAAAGAAAAAATTAGACTAAATGACCATAGTGGATAGAAAGGTGTACAAGCTCTATTAAAGAGAGATATCTAATTTCTTAATATTTACTTGTTCCTCATACAACATAGCAGCTAGTTTTAAAAATTGAAGAGAGGAAAGAATAATCTTCTAATGCTTCCTGTTTGCTTTTATATGATCCTGTGGGGATGGAAATCATTGTTTTATTCCAGTCCTTCCGTTCTCTCTCTCCATCCATTCATCCAACCGTCCATCCTTCCCCTCCTTCCTAGTTCTATGTTTTGATATGCATGCATGAAGATATTTTTGTTGTGTATAATTTACTATACATTAAATAGAAGCTTTTCTTGTTTTAAAAGCTGCAGGGAGAAGAAAATAAATGTAATAAAAGCTGCAGCTTATAAACAAAAGTACAATACACATGTTCACAGGCACACAGAAAGAATAATGACATTTGTTATCTAGCCAGTCACTTAAGAGAATGGCACAAAATATACTATTCTGAATGCCAAGCAACAATGAAGATCCTAAGGTGATAAAACTCTCTCAGTGTCATGGGAACACAATTGTCACTTGTCATTACTGTGCATCTCTCTATTTCTTCGTATATCCTAAACTGCCTATTCTTACATAATTCAACACATTTAATAATGTAGAAAATCAATTAATATTTACTGACCTGTCTCTGCTTCTCCGTGATGGGAACGCAGCATTACAGCCAGCCACTGTGCAGACATGCATCTCTTTTAAATGAACGTTTCTGTAGTGAAGCTTCACACTGTAGGAACTCTTGAAACTTTTCTTGCACACATAGCAGATCTTGGGGTCTGGGCTGGAGCACATTTCCCCTTCTGGAGAGAACTTCTGAGGGCTGCTGTAGTTGAATGTAGAGGCGAAACTTTCATGAAGGGCAGCCATACTGGCACTGCCTCCATTGTAAAGTCCATATTGGCTCATGTAGAACATATCATATGTAGGATCTGTATACTCTTCTTTCACTTTAATGACATCCTGGTTGGAAGAGTCATTGTGGTTTTCATCTGGTCTGTCAGTGTGCATCATAGATTTTTCACCAGGTTCGTGGAGGCGATCATCGCCTTCCATGGATTCCTCACACAATTTGGGCTCTGATGACTCTGACTCATTTTCATAGTCTCTCTCATGCTCCTGGTCTTCTGATGTCATGCTGTCTGCCCTTCTTATGTCTGGTCTGGAAATGCATCTGCTTCTGTCACTTTTGGAGAAGTCTTTCACAGACAGGCCTGGGCTCATTTCCTCCTGGGAATGGCAGTGATTGTCATGACCAATGTCATTCACCATCGTGCTGTTGTCATTCACCTCTTCGTCCTCATCATCAAACTCATCGGCAGTATCAATAACTTCCTTTTCAATTTTAACTGGCATGCTCGACTTCCTTGGCTTCTTCTTGGGGGCAAGGTCAGCATTAGGCTCTGGGGTGGGCATCAGCACTGAAGGTAATGATGACTCTGAAGGAGGAGGAGGAGGATGCTCCATGCCACTCACTGCTGGTATTATTGGACTGGTAGGGAGTGAGGTTGGAGGACTCACCATTTCTCCAGGAGTAAGTAAATTTCTGTAAAAAGGAGGAACAGGTTGTACAGTCTTTAAAGCCGGGAACACCAGTTGACTTGGAAGAGGGTTCTGTAGTACAGGATCTAGAGGAGGAGTGGTAAACCCCATCGGTGGTCGCCCAGGGCTTGTTAAAGTTAGGTTGGACTTCGTACTTGCTATGACTGGAGTGGCAGCACCTGATGTAGCACGAATTAGATCTTTGTCGCGATTATTTCTTAGCATAGGCATGTGGAGCCGGGGATTGGGGTTAGCACTGTGGCGATTGCGGCTTCTGAGGGAGCTGAAGACCATGTTGCAGCCCTCAATAGTGCACCGGTGCTTGATTTTCAGGTGAACGGCATTGTAGTGGATTTTAAGAGTACCTTTGTCATAAAACGTTTTGCCACACGCATTACAAAACACTCTTCCCTTCCTGGAGGCCGACCCCATTCTCCTCATTCTGTGAATGCGGAACGAGCTTTTAGTGTGTTCTGGTTTTGATAAATCATTGACAGGTGTAGGCGTCTGGACAGGAGAGACACAGGCTGGCTCAGTTTTGGGCTCAACATTTGTGATGCTGGTCAAAGCATTCCTGCTGGATGCTTGCTCGTTCTTGAAAGGCGTAGGGGAAACTTCGGATTCACTGCTCTCATTATATTCATTTTGGGTCGTAAGGCTTGGTTCACGGAGCCTCATTGCCGGCTGTTCCAGCAGGAGGCCGTTTGGAGGCAGCCCCAGCAGTGGAGCAGAGACTGGATTTATGTACTGGAATGGAAGCAGGAATGCAAGGCTATTCGGGATGTTTTCAAAATGATGAATGCTGGAAGGGTTGCTATTCTCCAGGTGAGCAAGGAGACTTGGGCTCCTGGTGCGATTATTGCTCTCAATAAAAGTCCTTATATCTGAATCTGTCTTTGAAGATGGCACAGCCACAGCCTGCCCTTCTTTTTCTTGAATTGCCATCAGCTCCACAATGGATTTGGTTTCTCCAAATCTCAGGAACTGCTGAAGGGTAATGATCTCTTCTTCCCTGGACATGATGGCCCAGCGGTCCAGCACCTTGCCTGCAGCATCCTAGAGGCCATATCAAAGAAACAACAAAGAAAAACACAAAGAAAAAACTTATTGATTCTGCATAATTATTGAACTCAACAGAAGGTGTTCTGCTGCCTGAACATGAAACACTAAACTCAAAAAACAACATGCAAACAGCATTAATAGAACTCGACCAAAAAACACAAACTTTCCAGCCATGCAAAAATAGTAATTAGGGTCACAGTCAGAGAAACGGATTGAGCTTCATGATGGCAGAGCAAACAAAATGTAGACCACAGGGCTCTGTGATCTAAAATGCTTTTGATAGTTTTATTTTAACAACAGTGGTCTACGGACAATTCTACTGTTTAGTATACATTAGTGTAAAACATGAACTGTTGCCGTGCACTCCACTGTAAAATACAGAAAATTGCACCTTAATTGCTATTAAATGATGACCCTGTAAGAAAGAGCTAAATAAATGCACTTGATGGATTTGCTTCGTAAATATAAGCAGACATAAGACTGAAGTCACTCATAGGCCACCTCATAAGAAATTTTAATGTAAGGCAAATAGACTTAAAAATAGCACATAATACTTGTACCTTACTCCTTTTTTTTAGTTCTTTTTTTTCCCCATGATAGCAATACTGGAAAACAATACTGAAAATACTGAAATAAATTTGCATCAGAAGATAGAATTCGGGACACTGTTTTTAAGCGTAACTGGACTGTTACTGGCAATTGATTGTAAGCTTGCAATCTTGGTATGGTTTAAGAGATTACTTTTTTGCAGTCTTCTTTAAATGACAGTTAAAAAAATGTAAAAAGTAAGCATCTGATGGATGTAGATAGCATAAATGTGTAAAAATGTTGTCTCTTAACATTGCCTTCTGATAGCAAGGGAAAAATCCAGAGAGAATACACATCAGTAATCACTAGACTATCTGTTGTTAAATATACATTAAAAAGCATTTCACACTTTCATTTTTGCTAGTAAGCATGAGATTTGCCTGAAGGTAGGACTTAAAAATTCTGCAATGTAATGTCAGGCAATCCATTCCAGCATGTATTGATAAAAACATATTAAAATACTTATATAATGAATACATCATTTTATTGGCATCTTTCCTTTTGGGCAAATGCTGGACATAACATCAGCACAGTAACTATGCCCAACAAGCACTGTTGCAAGCCATCAAACCAGAATTATTCCAGTGCTTCCTCATGCATTAAACAGTTTGAAAGCCTTGCAAGATACTCCTCTGTACTGTCTCTGATTTTTTAAAATCTTGAATGTTAGCTTCAGAATCTCATCTGAACACTTTGGACTACACACTATTGCAAAAACTACTAGCTCTTGTTTGATTATGAAGCCTGCAAATACCTTCCCCCC